TTCATATTATCGAACGTAAAAGTTTCACCCCCTCACACGACTTTGCGAGAATGAATCTCCAACTTCTTTTTCACAAAACTGGGTCATTATTAAAGTATTATGAAACTATGACTATGGACGAATAAAACTTAATTCATTAGTTTAAGTATCTTAATCAATTTTTTTCACAATAAAAAGTTTCAAAATAAAACTATTCGTATCTATTACCTTGCATATTGTTTTACTTTATGAAGGATATTAGGGGGTGGGAAAAAAAAAAACTTGGAAAGAAAATCATAATAACTTTTACGGCCCAAACCGAGATTGGATCCAACCGGAAAAGAATAAAACTACGTCGTTTCATTACAAGTATTTTTGCCAATCTGTATACTGTGAAATCCCATTTTCTATCTGGAGTGAGATACGGTCCTTTACCCGAGCAAACAACGGAATCAGAAGCCTCAAAAGCGAACGCTAGTTTCTCTCGATCTTCAACATCCGGCTCTAGGGTTTCACCCAACTGACACCAACAATGGCGATGGCTGCTGTCAGACGTGAAGGGAGACGCCTTCTCCCTCCGATCATTCCTCGCCCAATCACCGCCGTCCGATCCACTTCTCCCCTCTCCCCTGAGTACGATCTCTCTCTCTCTCTCTCTTAATCCCTCATACTCGTCTCTCCGTCTCTTTTTACTTCTCATTAACTAGTCTCGTGGAAAAATGATTCTATTGTGGATGTTCTTTCGTGTTCCTTTCTATCAAATTTTTTCTTTATATTCAGCTCATAGTAAGGATTCAGTTTACTTTGCGGGGATTCTTATAATGACTCTTTAAATAATTTTTCTGTTGATTTTATTGTAATTTTGTTGGTTCTCAATGAAATATATTTCCTTACATCGGGTGAAACTACCTGCTATTATGTGGTATTAAAAGGCAAATGAAAATGCTAGAAAATTATGAGTGATCTCCTTCATAACCGCTTAATGGAAGATGATATTCAACGAATCTCAATTTCATTGGTGAAGCAAAATTTTTTCTTCGCTTCTGCGTTCATTCTTCCTGTGCTTAAAAGCTTTTGCCTATTCGCAAGCAAATAGAAGAAATATTAGGGAAATTGAGTTTGCTAATGCACCTTGTTTTTTTTCCCTTTTTGGACACGAGATTGAAACTTTTGTCCGATGATTAAACCAAAAGAGTAAAAGGAATAAAAATGCTGGAAAAGAGGCTGTTGATTCGTTTGTACAATTACATCTCGAGTTATAATGTGAATTGTACTTAATGGTACTAATAAAAAATCTTGGCCCTCTGACTTCCAATTTGCATTTGTGTACTGTTTTACGAAATTATGTTGGTGGTGGCAATGTCTTTAGACAAAATAGACATTCTTAATCATCTCAAAAGCATAAATCTGAAATAACATGATTGTTTAAAGTGATGGAATCATACATTTTAGTGGAACTTCAAAGAAACTATGTGTTGCCTTTTTGTTTTGATATGTACGTAATTATTTTATGCATGATAGCATTGCAAACTGGTAATAAATTAGCCTGTTGGCAGGGAGGAAGGTCCTGCAGGGGTGCGGTCAATTTCAACTCAAGTGGGTGAGTATTCTCTTTTTGATGGCACCTGCTGCAGTATGGCAAGTTGTCTTCCCAATAGAAGTGTTCATTTCTTGTTGTTTTCGCCATGGCAGTGAGGAACCGCATGAAGAGTGTAAAAAATATCCAGAA